GGAAACGACGGCCCAGCAGCGACGGGCGGCCAAGAGGGAGAGCCTCCTCGTGACGTCGATATGAACCTCGACGATTACGAAATCACATTGTAGATTAGGTTTTTTTGTAAAAAACAATTTGTATTAAATTTTTTTTTTTATAAATTATTTTTGAATTTAAATTTCAATTTAAATTGTTTTTTTCTATTTTTAATTTTTTATTATTTTCAAAATTCATTAATTAAATTAAAATCGAATTAAATAATTAATTTATAAATCGACGTAAATTCGTCGTAAATTTACGTCGATCTAACGTCGAATATTTAACGACGAATTTACGTCGAATAAGTTTACGTCGGATTTACGTCGAAAATTTACGACGATTTAACATCGACAATTAAAAAATTAGTTTCCCTTAATTGAAATTGTTCGTCTCCTAATCGTTGTTAAATCGATGTAATTTTACATCGATTTTACGTCGTTCTTATGATGGAGTTCTTTCGTTGTACTTCCGTTGGAAATTTTACGTCGCATTTACGACGAATAGTTTCCGACGATTTTACGACGATTTTCCGGAGTTGGTAATTTTACGACGATTTTACGACGATTTCGGTTTTACGACGATCGTTTTACGACGATTTTTTTTTCGTCGTTAATTCGACGTAAATGCTCTTTTACGTCGATTTTACGTCGATATATGCCGACGTAAAACCCGATCTTTCTTGTAGTGCCTCCAAACAAATGTATCAAATGCAGTTCACACCTTACACAGCTTCAGATTCAAGTCATTCCAACAAATCTCCACTTTGACTTTAATCTTCCAACATATGTACCAGATGCACCTTTACGATGCCAGATTTCTCCTTTGCCCCAGACGTTCCAAAATGCACTCTTACTGTGCCAGAAATACCAGACGTCCCTTGTATCTGATGTACCTGATGCAAGCTTACTGTGCCAGATGTACCAAACGCACCATTATTGTGCCAGATGTACCAGATGCACTCTTCGTGTGCTAAATCTACTTGGTGTTAAGTAGAAACAGATGTATCTACAGACCAGATGTCCCTTTGGACCAAATATCCCGTTGGACCAGACACCCTTGCGGACTAGACGTTATTTCAGACCATACGCCTCTTTGGATTAGACGTTCTTTCAGATCAGACGTCCTTTCGGACCAGACACCCTTTACCAGGCTCAGATGCTCCTTCGGAGTCAGATGCTCCTCCAGAGCCAGATACTCCTCATCGGGCTCAGATGCTCCTCACCGGGCTCAGATACTCCTTCAAGCCAAACAACCCTCATCGGGTTCAGACGCTTCTTCGAGCCAATTTTCACCTGCAATGCATAATTCACCATATCTTTGGAACCATATACCTCTGTTGATCCAACCTCATTCCTTGTAAGTTGATCATGACTGGTACTATGGTGTGTAATCTTAGATGGTGTCAGTTTTGATAGATCAACTTCTGTCTGTAGCTCTTGACTCTCTTCGTGTAGCTCCAAATCAGTCTCGTCACGACCTATATGCAGCTCCACCTGCATCTGTAGCTTCACCCGCTTGTCAAAGCTACTGTTCTCTGTAGCAGCTGTGGTTAAAGGTTCATCTTGGAACCTTATTTTTGAATCAACATTAGAGAACATGCACTTCGCTCTCTGCAGCAGCTTCTGATTCATCTGCTCAGATACATCATTCGATTGTGATGTATCTATAACTACATGATGTCGGACAACTCCTTCATCCTTGTATAGCTGACTGAGCTCTGATGAACAGAATTTCTCACTTTTCTCTGACAGAATTCGCTATACAACCAAAGCTCTTATGCCACAGCTTTTTCATATCTTTCTGGTGAATTTCTGAAGATGCAGCATTCACAGATCATGTAGCTGTGGAACCTTGCAGCAGATACAAGGTACCACGTTTGACACCTTTCAGAATCACATCTGAACCCTTGTAGACATTTAAAGCTCCACCTTCACCTGAGTACTTGAAACATTTTTTGTCTAATAGACTCAAAGATATCAAGTTTTTCGTCATTGATGAAACATGTCTAACTTTGTTAAATGTGCAGATACTGCCATTATATGTCCTGAGCTTAACCAAACCTATTCCAGCAACCTTACAAGTAAGACCATTGGCCATCTCAATGCTGCTATAAGCTACGTTCTCATAAGTCGAAAACAACTCCCTCCTTAGACATATATGATAAGACGCTCCAGTATCTAGCACTCACACCTCAGAAGAACAGGTGTGTCCTTCAGCAACTAGAGCAACGTCTTCTTCGGACCTTGTGTCAGCTACTGCTACAGCAGCAGATTCAGATTGCTTCTTCTTCTTTGGACATTCTGATTTCTAGTGTCCTATGTCCTTACAGTAATTACAGACATCACCTGGTTTATGACCTTTTGCAAGCGACTTCTTCTTGTTCTTCACATATATATTACCACTGCTGACAAATAGTCCAAAGTCTTGACTGTCCGTACCTGTACCAGATGCTCATAACAGCTCCCTACTGTGAAGAGACTACCTAATTTCCTCTAGTGAAACTGTATTTCTACCGACTATGAACGATTGCACGAAAGTTCTCGTATGATAACAGCAGAGATACCAACAGAAGCAAAGCAGCATCCTCATCCTCCACCTTAACATCGATATTACGCAGTTCTAGTAATAACGTGTTCAACTGATCTAAGTGATCTCTGAGTTGCGTACCTTCCTGCATTCTTAATGCGAATAGGCGTTGTTTCAGAAGCAATTTGTTTGTTATAGACTTTGTCATATACAACGTCTCCAACCCCCCCCCCCCCCATAGATCAGCTGCAGTCTTTTCGTTTGCAACCTCGATGATGATATCATCTGCAAGACATAGCAAAATCGTTGAGTATGCTTTGTCCTCCAGATTTGTCATTGCAGTAACGTCGTCCTTGTTGTCTTTCGACAGCGCCGCCCACAAGCCTTATTGCTTCAGCAACGCTTGCACCTAGATTTGCCAGAGACTGAAGATGTTCCTCCCTGTGAACTTGTCGATACTCACGTTTAACCCAAACATCTTCTCACCAGATGCAGAAACTCCCAGAACCTGGAGCTCTGATACCAGTTTGTTATAAACGGATGCGAAAATATAAAGCTATAAACGTAAAGAATACGACACAGAATTAACGTGGTTCATCAACGATGTGTTGGCTACCTCCACGGACAAAAAGAAATCGATTTATTAAGGGAGTCAGAAGGTTCAGAAAACCCTGATGGAGGTTCTAAATCAGAATCGGAATACATCAGAATTAGGTATAACATAGATATTTATAACTACCTAGTTAACCCTAACCATATTTGTACCTTTCGCTCAGGCCCACGTAACGTCCTTAAGCTGATAGCTTCAGCCCATTACTCAAACTGATAATCTGCTTCCGAAGCTCACATGCATCTCCTCTGACAGGTACGCAGCTTACACCTCTTGAAAACAGCTATGCAGCTTACACCTCTTGTGATCAGTTGTGTATCTGCACCTTCTGCAGGTCGTACATTCCGCAGGTCGCACTTTCTGCAGATCGAACCTTCTGCAGATCGCACCTTCTGCAGGTCTCACATTCCGCAGATCGCACCTTCTGCATGTCGCACCTTCCGCAGGTTGCACCTTCTGCAGGTCTGCTCTGTAAGTTCGCGCCTTCTCACACTTTGTGCAACTTGCACTTTCTGCAGCTTGTACCTTCCACGATTTCAGATTCAAGACATATTAACAAATCTCAATCTTGACTTGAATCCTCTAAACAAATGTATCAGATGCAGTTCATACCTTACACAGTTTCAGATTCAAATCATCCCAACATAGATAATATATAATTTATCTTTTTATATATTGTATATCTTATCTTATTATATAAAGCCAATTTTGTCAACGATAGCATGATACGTTAGATCATTCTTATTCAAGAAATCATAAGATCGTGACATAGTGATATGTATGTAGTTGTTATATAAAGTTAGGACATGTGTTAAATGTAATAATATAAACTTTTCTAATAGGTAATAGAAAAAATAGAAAAAAGAAAAAGAAAAGAAAAATTGTATTTAAAAGGAAATGAAAACTAATTAAATTGAAAAAATAAAGTACAAGAAAAAGTAGAAACTATATATAAAAAAATAATAATAAAGAACTGTAAACTATGAAAAATATATAAAATTCATAATATATAAAATTAGATTTAGATTGAGACAGACGATTTTCTTTTAATAAATATAATTCAAGAAATCATATAGGGTTATATTACAATTATTCGATGAATTTTTTTTTCCTCTCTCACACTGTAATCGGTAAACCTAACCGCCCAAACAATCCCCTTCTGATCCAGATGATTTCAATACTTAATTGAAGAATTGAAGGATTGTTATGCTTAAAAGATACTCACTCTGTTTCAAACTTTCAATATACAATTTGTTTTGATTAAAAGCTCAAAGATGAAGAAAAAGTACTTCTCTTCAAAAAGTATAAATTAATATAATTTAGCCAATTAAAAAGAAATTTAAAATATAATTGATCATACATTTTTTCATAAAAGTAAAAGTTGCGTAAAATTTTTAAACAACTTATATTCTGAAACAACAAAAAAAACAAAAAATTCAAAACAACTTATATATTGAAATCAGAGGGAGTATGTACTGAAGACCAGCTGCTGAAGACTAATGCTTTAAAATATTTATAATAATAATAATAAAGATCTTTTCGTTGATTTCAGATTCTCAGACAAACCCAAGAACCCTAATCGTACAAATCCACCAAATTAGTAATTAACATGACTTGTATAATGAAAAAAGAATAAAAGAATCAATCGAGAAAAAAAGGGACTATCTTTTCTTTCTTTTTTTGAACATTTTTAAAGGGACGATCAATTATAATGAATCAAGAAGTTTTCATTACTACATCAATTATACATTGATACTGAAACTAAACAGACTTGAATCTTATTTCTTACAACTTTAAAACTAATCAGCAAACTCATAATGTGATTCAAAAGACTTTATCAAATCAGTCATACACAAAACCATTATGGAACTACTCAACCTCAAAATCGAAAAAGGGATGGTTAATGAGTGAACCGATCCCGCACCTCAAAGCAGGCTCCTTAACCAAGCATTTTCTCAGTAAATCTTGTGCTTTAAAAGACATCCAACCCGGTATGTAAGGAATGAAATTGCTTTGACCGATGAGTTTCGGTAAATCTTTAGAAACAACAAGACCACTATATTCTCCCCAAGGATCTCTGCCGGTCAACATCTCCAAAACCGTGCATCCAAAAGCCCACGTGTCGACACCATAATCCACAATGCCATGGTTCATAAGCTCCGGAGCCATGTAGCTGGTGGTGCCTCTCTTATGACCCCAACCGTTCCTGTACTCGATCGAACCTTTCTCCATTGCTAAACCAAAATCCCCGATTTTGGCCAAATACACGTTTGTACTTAACCGGTTAACGACAGGGGTCAAAAAGATATTATCCGGTTTAATGTCGCAGTGAATGATTCTCTGCCCGTGGATATAGTGGAGACCATAGAGTATATCTCTAGCGAAAACTTTAACATTCTTCTCCGACAATACACCGTTAGTCTTGATTAACTTGGCGAGGCTTTGACCGGAGCAATACTCTAGAACCAGATTGTAACTAGTTCTCTCGCCATCGAACAGAGTATTTTCACGAGCGATCTCGTCGCCGTAACAGCGAACGACGAAAGGAGATACAAGACGGGTTAAGATTCTTTTCTCGTACATAAGGGTTGATGCTTTTGAGATTTCTGCAGATTTTATCGCCGCGATCGTGGTTTTGTCTTCGTCGTTTGTGGCTAGATAGACCAAACCGTAGGAGCCTCGTCCAAGGAACTGAGATTTGATCCAAGACGAAGACTTTTTCACTTCTCCGATGTGGGTTTTGCCGGAGGAGGAGGAAGATTTGAGAACGGCGGCGTCGAATGATTCTTTTCTTAACTCCATGAGACTGCTGCTGCTACTCTTCTTCGAAGGCGGGGACACTCTCTCCATCTTTTGTTTTTCTTAAGAAAAATCTCACTTTGTGTAATAATTGTGAGAAAAGCGAATGAAATTACACTGTCGAGAAGAAGAAGAAGAAGAAGTGTTATATACAGATTAGGTTAGGTGTGTTTACAACAAAAGCCAGATTGGCTTTGTCAACGCTAATAAAAAATTTCCTCTTTAGTCATGATAGTGTTTCCTTTTTTATATTAGTAAAAGATACACCGGTCAACAATTCCTAAAAGATATTTCCTTTTTGGCTTTGTGATAATGATTAGCTTGTTAAGTTATTTTGCTTATTTTTAAACTTGTCATGTTAAAAAAAAAAAAGTTAAAAATTATATTTAACCAAAACTAACCCTAGGGTTTGTTTGTTTGTGCATTTAGAAGATATGTTTAGATGCTATATCTAAACGTAATATCTGAACTATCCTTTTGAATGCAATATTATTTGTTTTCATTTGTTTGGGTTGCCTGTGTAGTTAAACGGTGAGGGATCATGGATCACGGGGAAAATCTGGAAAGTACACTCTTTGAGACTGTCCAAAATAGTGAGACTGAAGAAGAGCTCGTGTTGGTATAGCGAAAGAGACGTTGTTAACTGAAGCAGCAAACATTGTGCCGTTAGGTCCCTGGCATGTATAATATCTGAACTATGCATGTGTCTTCAGAAGAGCTCGTGATGGTTGCATGTGTGTGTTCTCAATCCTACTGTGAAATTTCTGATCAACCTTTGGAGGCACATTTACGGAAAAATTCTTGTGTTCAAACTACGCAGCTTAGCGCTGAAAAAGGTTGCAAAATTTGTGTCTTCAGAGCTGGAAGCACTGGTTTAAAGACCTGAAGGTTCATTATTGAGGTCTTTAAGGAAAAGCCGTTTGCGTTTATAGGTGGTCTGTATTCCTTGACCTGTGGCATATGGCCTTGCAGTCATGAAGAACCAGACACCCGGATAGTGAGGTTTTGTCTTAATCAGGACGTTTGTGGTCTGACCAGGAGTAATTAAGATGGTGTCAGTTTCAAATAGCTTAACATAGATTGCATAAGCTTCAACAACAGTAACCGTATGATTTGCATTGCTGAAGAAGAGCTCTTCATTGAGTGCAGCGTTGATTAGCCGTAGAAAGTATATTTTCCCTGTCTTTACCCGGAGCATGTATGTATCTGTTTGTCAATAAAACCTTGATAAGCTCGTACTGAATAAAGATAAACTGAAACGTTAAGAAACACATTAGTGAAGCAACACAACACCTTTAGTTGCGCAGTTGTATAATGGTCCTAGGAGTCCATTGATTGTGTATGCATCAGAAACATTTGGACCACCTCCTGTTTATAGTGCCTGGCTGATAATTGCCTCAGGATCTGACTTAAATCACTCCCCTGAAAATTTAACAGAGTAAGCTTAGTATTAGTAAACTTGAATCCGTAAATTCAGTGTTGGCTTGTCTCAGGATTTTCTGAAATATTAATCCGTAAAGCCTTACCAAAGATCATAGGAACTTCTTTGTATGGTCTGGCAAACGGGTAAGGTACTCCGTGTCTCAGGATTTTCTGAATGGGCCGTAGATGGTTGCTCTTAGCCATAAAATGTGTGCATGAAAAACAGTGTGCCTCTCTGACCGACAATGGTATAGTTCTCTACATAGCTTTGTCTAGTCTCAATAGGGCATTGTGTTATGTAAGCTGGTCCATCGGCCCAACCAGATCGCAACTGCCGGATCCCATGCCTGAAAAAATGAACTCTTAGTCATTACGTTTAATTTCATAGCATTCATGACGGTTAAGCGTCTTAGGCTTAAACATTACGAGTGGATATAGATATGAAGCTACTCAAAGAAGGGAGATTAGAGTAATTAGATGTCAATAAAAAGACATGTCATGGATGAACAGTTGGCGAGAAACTTAGAAGACGCTAGCTATTCCTCAAGCAGGTAAACTAACTCTATTCAAAATCTTGCTCTCAGGCATGTCATATCAATTAATAGTATATACACAGATGATCGTTGTGATGTATCTATTTGTATTTGTACTAAATGCACCATCTGTGTACAATATTTTCTTGTACATATATATATATATATATATATATATATTCACGTCACAAAAATAATATTATGTTATAATTAGTCTAATTCATCATATAGAATATAGTATGTTACATTATTTAGAGCTGATACTCTATTCTTGCCTCTAACTCTAATTTTAGAGTAAAATCATCTCTAATTGTATTCTATTTTTATAGTTCAACTTTTTTATTTATAAAAAAATCTCTAATTTCCATATATTTTCATTTCGTACCTAAACATTAACAGACAATATTGTACTTAATTAAAACTGCATCAACAATAAGTAATTCTATAATCAATTATTTTAATTTATCTTTATTTGTTAGTATTAGATTTTGGTTATCTCAATGTATTTATTTTCAATTAATATATGTATTTCTTGATAAAATTTCTCATTACAAGATTAGCCAAAAGTTGCTAGCCAAACACACAACTCGCATCAGAAAAAACAAAATATTGAAAAGAAAAATAACCGATTGAATCATTCGTTAGCAAGTAAGGTTTTATTTTGAAAAACATCGTCAAATTCACTTTTGATTTTGATGTTATGTCAATTCTTAACCTATAGTGCATATATCTGCATATATAATAATTTGTTTTCCCGAATTTTTGTAAATTGACTTTGTAGTCCCATTTTGATATTAATAAAATCATTTGCCATAAAAAAAGGTCTTCGTGAAAGATAAAAATCCCCAAAATAATTATCGTAAAAAAAAAACTTAACACGACTTATTAGACTAGTAATCTAATAGTTCTCTAAAAAAACAGACTAGTAATCTAATAATTTGGTAACTCGCTTCCACATCTATGACGATCATTAAAATTTTGCTCGGCTGAAGTGGATGCAGAGAGAGCTTGTTGACCAACCCTTTTCTTTAAGATTCGTGTTTGTTCAGTTCGAACATATTCACGAAGATTTAGATCTTCTATGGAATTTAAATCTTTAAGTAAAACTTTGTTTTCTTCTTTGAGTTCTTTTAATGCATAATTCTTACTCTGAATCTCCAAATGGTGTTGTCTTTGAGCACATATCTTCTTTAATTGTTCCAAAACTTGTCTATTTCCTTCTTCTAAAGTCTTGATAACAGCTGATGTTTGATCATCACTTTTTCTTTTCAATATGGACTTTTCCACTCCAGTTGGTTGTTGAGATAAGGATCCGCCGATAAAATTGTCTTCATCACCTAAATTTATAGAAGATGAAGATAAACCTGCAAATGTTTGTATAGTAGGATCCAACATAGGCTTTTCTGAAGAAGTATACCCGAAACCACATGTATTCGATATTTTAGGAGAAGTAACAACATCTTTAAACTTTTCTAAATTCTTCATAATATTCCATACATGATCAAATTTCCAACCAGATTTGAATTTTGGATCTTCCATTAGCATTTCTTTAGCTTGATTGAACTACAAATAAATATTAAACAAAAATAAATAAATAGTCAATTAACAAAAAGAAATAAAAATTATATATTAATTAATACTTACAATATTATCATTTGAAACACCAATTGAACGTCTGTTTTCACATTGTTTGATGCATTCATTTAGTTTCCTTGTTGCTCTCTCCATAGTTTGAAATCGACATTGAATAGATTTTTTTGTACGATCACTCCAAGTTGTACTTTTCCCCTTTTTAAAAGCTTCTACGACACGATCCCAAAACTGATCGGCTGTTTGATTAACACTTTTTATTGGATCTTGAAAAATGTCTATATACACTTGACATAAAAACTTATCTTCTTCTTTAGAATACCCAACGGAACGAGAACCACGTTCAGACATTTTGGTTTAAAAAGTAAGAAAATGTCAAGATGTGTATAGAAATTTATGGAATGATTCATTGTTCTGAACTGAAATAAAAATCCATGAGGTTATTTATAGATGTTAATTGGTAGAGTGATTCAACGATTCTTGCCTCTAAATTCTGCATTAAGACTCTATTTTTGCGTTTAAACTCTTTTTTATAGTAAAACCAGTTTTAATGGTACTCAAAATCTAACTCTAAAAATAGAGAAATGAATATGTTACTCTAAATTCGGAGTGAAACTATTCACTTTTCTATTTTTAGAATGCAACTGTTTTTTGACAAAATAAATTTCTAATATTGTATCTAAACAAATATTACATGTTTTAGCCTTTTAGATTTATACGTTAATACAATGATAAAAACAATAACAAGCTATCTAATTAACTAAAAATAAAATATATCAAATTAAAAAATATAATGACATAAAAAAGATTAGATAGAAATACAATGACATAACAAATTATAATTTATCTAAATATTTTAAAAATCCGTATATAAATGGATAAAATTTGTATAGATGTAAGTATAAGCTTTGTAATAAATTAAAAAATTAATAGAAATATATTATATTTTGAATATTCTTTTTCTTTTAAATAAGAAACAGAGAGAACCACTGAAGCACAACCCCTTCTCTATTTTTGAAGACTATATTTTTAGAGTAAAAATAAAGTACACTAATGGAGATGCCTTAAGAAAATTTTACATATCAATATATCCTTTTGTTTGTTTGTGAAGTATTTAATTTATAGTAAAGACGTTTGAAGGATAATTTTTGTAAGAGTCAACTGGTTCTAATGCTGTAAAGCATATACTGATATGCACTTCGTTAATTTACTAACTACAAACTGTTCGTTAATCTAATTAGTTAACTGAATTTCAATTTGTTGTTTAATAATTAACCGAAATTTTTTTTGAGAAAAAAGTCAGAAATTCTCTTTGTGGAAGGTAAAGCGAGTGGACGACTCGAGACTGAACTCCTGACAAAGTGATTTTAGTGGCCGGACAAGCGTTGGACTTCCACAGTAGAACACACCTGAAACCCGTACAAATTCAGTTTTTGTTCTTATAAAACATTAACAAAACAAATTATACCACAAACTCCCTAAAGGTTTATATATTTATCAAAAAAAAATCATCCGAAAAAGAATTGACCTATAATATATATTTTTTAACAATTAATAATAATATTTAGACATCTTTCTAATTCTAGGTAGAAAATTTCAAATAAATAGGGCCATAAATTAGTATTATCAATCAATTAAAGATACCTAGATTGTTTGAACTTTGTCTTTCTCGAATATTTCTTAAATAATTATGGTACAGCATATAGGTGATAAACGTCATACATGCAATGAGAACTAAACTTATATATATATATATATATATAACTATAGCTAAAACCAAAAAACTAAAAAAAAAAATCTTAGATATCTAGTTAATAAACAAGTCACTCAACACATTTTTCTAGCAATACTAAAGAATGTTTAAAGAGAATTAAGAGAATCAATTACCTATGCGAGAAGTTTCATGCTTGCTTGACAATTCAGAAAAAACCTTTCTCCAATTGGGTCTTGCGAAATGGGTTCGTATCTGAATTGGGTGGAATATTGGATATATATATTTATATATATATATATATATATATATATATATTAACAACAACTAATGTCAATAAAAAATAATAAGTGGACAATAAAGAAATTCATTTTGCAAAAAAAATTGAACATACTCGGCTCTCGGAGACAATGTCAACACCGTTTTTGGCATGTTGAAGTTTTTGGACCATAGCTATTAGAGCAGATCTTGCATCTCCTGCTTCGTACATACTTGTTAGGTAGTTATGCATTTCTATCACATTCTGCAAATTCAATATACAAATTCTTTATTACAAATTTATATATATATATATATATATACAAATTCTTTTTAAATAAGTAATACATAACAAGAACATACCTGTAAATTTCATCACATAATTTTTTTTATATAACACAAAAACATATAGGGAAATTCTCTAAAATCACACTTTTAAAATGGCATAGGGCAAAGATATATTTTCACACAAAAAAATCTGTCATTTTGAAATTTTGATTTTAGTGTCTAGATTTAGGACAAAAACTAATTTTGTGTTATATTATGGTATTTTGTTTTCATCATACATATTTATATTATTTTTTTGATGATCAATATCTATATATATATATATATATATTTATATAATAATATTAGAATTGGACAATATTAAAAATATTAAAAATGTCACATTTTTGTGGTATCTTAGATTCAGTAATTTAAAAAAATGGATATAAACTTACGGTTTTGTCATACACTGCGATATCATCCATAACTCCTTTGAACCATTCGAAAGAAGCTTGCTCTCTTGTCACCCAATAAAAATATGCTCTTTGTGGAAACTTCCTACCTCCATTTACAGTAGATCCTCCAAAGCTCCCACCTCCCACACTTCCTTCATACCTTTGCCCCTACATTTTTCAAAATTTTAAAATCCACATCAAATCACTTTGCCTTATATTCTTCTTTCTTCAAGAACTCTTCACTATATGGTTATAGATTACTTACAGTTTTTGGAATACCCGGTTTGAGATTATTCAACATGTCTTTTAGTATACTTATGAATGGGGTTGCACCAATACCTAGTCCGACCAACAAAAGGATATCAAACTTCTCATAGTTTTGCGCTGGAGCACCATACGGTCCTTTGATGAAAATTCTTGGAAATCTGGTTTTGAAGATATGTGGATATAATGAGATCCTCATATAATTTGATCATCTTATGTAAGAATATCCTGGATCGATCGGGTATCAAAGATATTCACTTACAAGACTTGCGATTCTTCAATGAGAGGATTTGCACCTCTTGCTCTTGTTTCCATCCTAATAAGATTATTTGGACTAGGTTTCGAAGTTTGAGGAGGCTCACATGTCTATAAGAAACAAAAACTAACTATATAAACTTTAATTTTGGTTAATTTTTGACAAATTGTAAGATTTGAATTTACCAACTATTATTTCGAGACTATACGTTCTAAAAATTATTATAAGATCAGATGTTAAGAAAATATTGACCTCTGCAAATCTGTTCCTAAGCTCACTGGTCCAATCTCCTAAGGCTCTTATGTGAACACTCAAATATTCATCTCCGGGCGCAGAAGTGACGGAGAATGGATGCCTAGTTAAACCATAATAAACTAAATACAATTAAATTTTATAATGATAGAAAATATTATATATTTAAGGTAAGTTAACGTATTTATTAGTTAGAGTTGATTTGATAATTATTACCATTCGAATTTGGAGATATCAGGGCACTTGACAAACATGTACATGCCACTTTTGTACTTGAACCCTTGAGGTTTTGTCATATAGAGAGCAAGAACATTGCCTGAATACACAATTGCCTAGGCACAGAATACATTCGAGGAAACCAAACACGATCAGATTTTTAGAAATATTTCATAATTTTATAATCTAATAATGTTAGAATAAAAATAAAAAATTCTTAAATTACCTTGATAATGTGGACACGATGGTTGTGTTCTTGAACTCGTGAGAACAACCTTTCGCTCGCGTACAGCGCCATTGGTACGGCCACGTACATCCATGTCTACATTTTTTCAACACAGTGAAAAAATATTGTTAAAACAAAAATCGAACATATACACAAAACAGTTTTTTTTTTTTACACAAAACAGTTAATTTATAAAGCTTCTATTTCCTAATGTATATATTAGTTTTAGTTCATATAAAGGGTTATTAAATTACCGTCTTTTGGTACCAAGGCTTCTTGATGATAAGAATGTAACCATGGATGATGAGAAGAGCATAGGCAATAACTAGCAAATGATGAGCGTACCAAAACGAATTAAAACCAGCAAGAACGTTAAACGGCTTAGGAAATTTCACTATGTTCCTTCTGAAGTGATGCATCGCAAGTGTGAATGAAATTCCCATGAAAAAAATCATCAGAACTCCTGTGACCGAAACCGGGGTCAGCATTAGACCTAAATAGGTCGGTTGCTTGAGCCCGAAGAGTTCTCCCGCATACTTGGAGAACACGTCGTAAGGGCAAGCGGCTAGCCTAGGGTAGTTGCATAGCATATGTAGTGCCGTGTGGAGCAAGGAAATAACCGCTATCGCCACAGCTATCATCTTGTGGAAGTTGATATTGTCGTCGAATGGGATTAGGTGGCTCAAGAAAGTAGATCTGAGGAACGTTAGGGTTCTTCGTAAAACGGGGACCAAGATTATAGCCATGTTGAATTTAAGCATTTCCGCGGTTCCTTTGGCGACACAAACGCAGCGTCCGGCGATGTTATAAAGTGGGCTTATGGTGAACTCTTTGTATTTCCATATGAAGAGATAGGCATTGACTGCGAGCCACAATGTGACGACCCAAATCTTCTTCCAGTGCTCGTGCATTAGCTCAGCGGTTACTGAAACGTATTTGCTAGCCGGCGTTCTGTAACGTTCTGGGATCATGGCTCGCGTTAGCGTTTGCGATTTCCTCGCCGTTTTATGTGAGTCAGGGTTCGCGACCATCCCTGTTAATAGCACCTCGAGTTGCCACATCTGGTCGATGTAAACTAAAGAAATGTCAGCGTGTAAGAGGTATGCAATATACAAAAAGGAATAGTATTGCCACAGAAAACGTTTGTTATATTAATAGTGTTTGTTTTATTTTTTGATTAACTTGTAAAATATACAGTTAACTTGTAAATAATAGTGTTTCTTATATTTTCTAAGAAAATAGACTTGCCACATCTGGTCGATGTAAACAGATCTGTTCTTGTTTGAAGTTAAGAAACACATTATACCATCGATATTTTGTTTTAGTTTGTGTTTCTTGAATGTTGAAACCTAAAGTTACCTTCTTTTGCAATTTTTTTTTTTATATAAAAACTATATAGTTATGATTTTTAAGAATGAAACCAAAAATTTAATATTCTTATTATTTTTAAGAAACTATTTCCATACAAACCTTATTTTTGGGAAACATAAAATTTTCTAAATTCAGGGAAAAAGAATTGTTGAAGGTTGCTAATTTTCCGGATCCAAAATTATTAGTTTTTTGAATTCGATCCAACCAGGTTTTCATCATTTTGTTATTTTTGTTTTATGAATAGTAAAAAAGTTTATGTTGATTGATGAAATCCTAGCATCGCAACTATGAGCCTATCATGTCATTAGCCAGTTAATCTACTTATATTTGGGCTAATTAGTTTAGTTTGATATGTTCACATGTTCACTCTAATATATATTTCATAGATTATCTTAATGGCATTAAGATGAAACCTCAATGTAACCGTGGTGATCGGGGTCGAGTTCTTCCATGATCAAAGAAGCATAAGAGGCAGCATTCTTCTTGAGATTCGCTAGCCTATTAGCACATGCACTCAAGACTATGACCTCTTTAACCTCCTCTTCTGTTAGCTTACCGTCTCCGTCCTTGTCACACCTAAACTGCAATTATTAACCTCATTTGCTATATGTTTTAAATCAAACCCAAACATAACCAAAAAAAAGTTGATTACATGTCGAAGAAAATCTGGAGTCGACAGTCAAGATCTTTCTTAATCATGTCTTCCCAAAACAACTTGAGTTGTTCCTTGTCAATCCCATTTTCTGTGTTTATTTTTCTTCTCCTACCCAATGCTTCGTATACTTCTCCCGCAAACTCCAATGTATCTCCCATTCCTAATAAAAAAATTATAACATTTTTTATTGCAATTTGAAGAATAGCCTTATGTATACGTGAAAAGTCAATTACTTATAGTTTTACCAATGCAAACGCCAAATTTTTCCTTGGGAAGCTTTCCATCAACGGCGAACTGATTGAACCGGTTCTCGATTGATCTCCACGAATCACGTTCTCGTCCTGTGACTGCCCGATCAAGGAACCGCAGACTTTGTAGTCCCCTAGCCGCGCTAGACGTTGTCCTCTTAACTCTTTGTGGCCCTATTTTCTTTTCTAGGGCCACGGGGAGCGGGGATCCCAAGTTTCCGCTCTTCCTCGTGCTTGGGGACCCGAGATTACCGCTCTTTCTCCATTTTGACACGCTCATCGACCTGATTGATCCCACACCGAGATTTTTTGAAACATTCTTCAAGATCCCACCACCACCACCACTACTCTCCTGATTATTGTCATTGGTTATGTTTTCAGATTGTTTCACCGAATGCTCACCATTTGGATGTATCTCGACACTCTCTAACATCCATTTCGTGGAATCTTCGTTCCCGACTTTCCTGTTGTTTTTCATAATGGCTTATAACTTTTTATCCTTTCTTTCTTCGTCGATGATTTAATTATCACGGAACATGAGGACATATCACTTCTACTTCTTTTTGTTGTCTTGCCGGTAATCTACCGATCGATCCTTGGTGATCTTTGTTTTTGGTTGATAAAAAGGATCATGAGAGATCTTGATTTTCATCTCTCGTTCTCTCTTAGTTCGTGTGAGTTCTTGCTTTCTTTCTTTTTTATTGGTGTTTTCGATGTCGATAATTTTACGAGACAAGACTAAGAATAGCCTCCTTAATGTGTGTCGTTCGTAACATTGTGCATACTGCATAGTCTATTTAATTGGGAAGAGAGGCACATGACAAGTTACTAAATATAGAAAGTGCTAGGGAAAGTTTATCTTCAAGCGATGTCAACTACACAAAAGCCACTTATTATTGAAATGCTTATAAGATCACCTAGCATACAATCGATTTAATTCATTTTCTTCCGAGACTTCCACAATTGCAATCTATGTATTTATAAGAAGTCACTGCTAATCTATCGTCTTCCAAATATAAAGTAAATGTAGCCATGCATCTATTTCCAATTATAAATGCCTTTTTATATGCTTTAAAGTATGAAGTCATATTATAAACAAACCAAACTGTAAAGAAACATAGTAATCAAATAGTTAAATTAAAATTAATAACATCGTAAAATATATCATTTTAGTTAGAGTTAAAAATAAACCAGTGGTTAGAGTCTAGGAGATAATAACTATACAAGGTGATGCTAGGCAAAGTTGTGGTTCAAAACAACTTGAGGTAAGATGCTTTTAGGAGTCTTGTAAGAATGTCATAATGTCTCTAGAAAAGGATCTAGAAACTAAAATTGACATATTACCAAATGGTTTTGTGTTATACTCCCAAATAGGATGGCGTAGTACTCTAAAGTGTCTTTTTTTATATGTTTTTTTTTTTGGTCCATTTCATATGTTTTTTCTTGTCTTCCAGTTTTATATGGGTTAAATTCCATTATTTTGACAGAAAATATATGAATTTCATTGTGGTTACTAGTTTACTACTAAAAAAAAAATTATGTTGACAAAAAATAACAAAATTTTGAAGAAAAAATAATTAAAAAAATATAATAACGACGTGTGTTTTAAAACGACGTCGGTGGTACTAAAGTGAAATCTCACACGCTGGATCGTCTTTCTTCTGGGATCGACTCGCTCTGAGTCGACTCGTCTAAACTCGGTCCGCTCTTCCACTCTTTTCCTAACAACTTTTTTTTTTTTTTTTTTTTTTTGCGAAATTCACCGTCTTCTTCGTCCTACTATGCCCTAAGTCTCTGTGGCTTTACCCTTTTTGGTCTTTTCACATAACACCCAGTAATCTGACGGCTCTGCTTCCGTCCACGTCAGCTTCGTCTTCTTCAACCCTCTCTTTCTCTCACGGTCACCGTCTTCTTCTCCCCTCTTTAGTTTATCGCGTTATTTATACGGTTTCTTCTCTAGGGTTTCCTCCAGATTCATCTACCATTCTCTTCTCCGTTTTTCGTTTTTTTTCATCCCTCGAGTAACCGAAGTTTCGCCGACGCGGAGGCATCGGAGCTCCAGTTTTGTTCAATTCTGGAGAAAATTTGAGGTAATTTGATCGTAAATCCATCGAAAAACTGAATTTTCAATTGAATTGGTACTGTAGAGTTTACAATTCTTCTCTTGATTTTTGTACGACTTCTGAGTTTTTAATTTTCTGGCGTTTATGCTTCGTTTGTGTTAGGGTTATCGAGTTCTGTGAGTGGGATTGGGGGTTTTATGTGCGATGGCGATTGAGAAGAGTAACGTTAAGGTTTCTAGGTTTGATTCAGAGTACTCTCATGGCAGTGGTGAATCTATGTCAAGCTACGAAGGAGAAGAGAGGCTTGAACTTCAACGTAAAATCTCTTCAGCAGCGGCTAATGTTGATTCTGAGGATGAGGAAGATGATTTCGATGAAGATGATTCAGGAGCAGGCTCTGATGATTTTGATCTGCTCGAGCTGGCTGAAACCGGAGCCGAGTTTTGTCAGGTTGGGAACGTGACTTGTAGCATTCCTTTCGAGCTCTATGATCTCTCTAATCTAGAAGATATACTCTCTGTTGATGTTTGGAACGAGTGTCTCACTGAGGAAGAACGTTTTAGCCTCTCGAGTTATCTTCCTGACATTGATCAGTTCACGTTTATGCGTACTTTGAAAGAGCTTTTCGAGGGTCGTAATTTCCACTTTGGAAGTCCGATCAAGAAACTGTTTGACATGTTGAAAGGTGGACAGTGCGAGCCGAGGAACGCGCTTTATCTCGAGGGACGTGATTTGTTTCTAAGGACGAAACATTATCATACGCTGAGGAAGTATCATAATGACATGGTTGTGAATCTTTGTCAGACGAGGGATGCTTGGGCGAGTTGTAAAGGGTACAGCATCGGTGAGAAGCTCCGAGTCTTGAATATCGTCAAAAGCCAGAAGACTCTTATGCGCGAGAAAAAGGATGATTTTGAGGAGGATTCCTCGGAGAAAGAGGAACCTTTTGATGGGGTTTGGAGCAGAAAGGTTAAAGATAAGTCTGCGCAAAACAAAATGGCACGTTATGGTGTTGATTCACATGATAGATATGCCAAACCAAAGTCGAAACCAAAGACAGGAGCACTGAAGTTTAAAACCTCTAATGGGCCATATGCTTCAGGTTATAATGGGTTAGGTATGAACTCTGCATACAACACCTCATCTCTAGTTAGGCAGAAGAAGTATGGTTCAAGTTTGGTTCTTGGGTCAGAAGATATTATTGATGACAATGATGATGATCAGGATCCACTCTTTGGAATGGGTTCTCGACGAGATCGGGATATTGATGCTAAAGAGAGATCTGGATTCTTGAGGCCTGGAAAAAAACATAAGTTTCCAAGAGAGGGAGAACCGATTTCTGAACATTTCATGAGTCCACCATATTCGTCAAGGCAGTCCCACAGCAATTTTGCAAAATCAAGTAAATATGCAAATCATATTCAGCCTCATGGATATGCAGATCAGATGAAGCCTGTAAAAGGTAGTCTAGCAGACCTTCGTGGGGAGTTTCATCGGCATGGAAAGAATCATGGAGATGGCTTTTCTGTTGATCCCAGATATATATCTGATGACTTGAATAGTAAAAGCAAAAAATTGAAGTCTGAGAGGGACTCACCTGATACTAGTTTGAGATCTTATAGAGCTTCTATGCAACAAATGAACGAAAGGTTCTTAAATTCTGATTTTGGTGAGAACCAAGTCCAGGAAAAGATTAGGGTGAATGTGGTACCAAATGCGAGGTCTGGTATTGCAGCGTTCAGAGATAGCAGATTGTTCATGAGAAATGATGATACAGAGTCGGATTCATCTGACGGGTATGATGATGAGGAGGAGAGACATCACATTATGCGGAACAAATCATCCGTCTCTGGTGGTAGGCTAAATAATTCTCATTTTGCAATACTCAAATCCGGGCAAGATAGTAAAAAAAATAAATCAAGAAAGAAAGATATGCTGGAGAATGAATTGCTTGATCGACGGGGAGATTACTTGAAATATTTAGGCCCACCTGGAGAACACATCTATGCGCCAGGTACAGAGAAACATTCCTTCAAGTCAAAACAAAAGGGTAAGATGCGTGACAGGAGTCCCTTGAATAATTTCTCCCCTCGAGATTTTGAAGATGGCCCTATCACAAGCTTGAGTGAATTGAAGGACAGGCACAATAGGAAGGAGTTTTTCAGGCCAAACAAGAGTAGCCAGACAAGAGAGCAAATGACTTATAGACCACAGTTTCAGAGATCATCTGCAAAACAAAATTTGTCTGGTAGAAAAAGAGGCTTTGATGAAGATGACGAATCACCTGAGATGAGAACATTGGTTAATGATATTGCCCGGGATCGACATAGTAGGAAATATCAGGTCTCTGAGGGGGATGGTAATAGTGGTGATGAAAATTCAGAGGCCAGGTTGTTGGTTACTTGCAGTGCTGTGTCCAAAAAGAGGAAGACTAGAGAGTCTTTGATGGACATTGAGAGGAGGGAGGATAATGGTGAGCTGCAGCTTTATTCTGACATTCAACAGCCGGTTGATGATATTATTGCCTTAAAGAGAAAGGGAAAGAAGAAAATGGAGGTTGATGTTGATTTTCTCGATTTGGAAACCTCTGAAACACCAAAAGCAGGAAAAGGTGCAAGTGAAGCAGAGGTGGAAACCAAGCCGCAGAAGAAGCCATTTGTGTTGATCACACCAACAGTTCACACTGGCTTCTCTTTCTCCATTATGCATCTTCTGACAGCAGTGCGTATGGCAATTATTAGTTCGCGTCCCGCAGATTCATCAGATGTTAGCAAGCCTATGGCAGTGGAGAATGCAGAACATGAAGCTGGAGAAAATGGTGCTCCCATGTCCAAGGATGCAGAGGATAACAAGTCGCCACAGCAGGGAAGTGGGAACTTGCCATCGCTCACTATCCAGGAGATTGTTAGCTGTGTGAAGTCAAACCCGGGAGATCCTTGCATCCTCGAGACGCAAGAGCCACTTCAGGATTTGATTAGAGGAGTTCTCAAAATCTTCTCCTCGAAAACCTCACCTCTAGGAGCAAAGGGTTGGAAGCCACTTGTACAATTTGAGAAACCCACGAAAAGCTGGTCTTGGATAGGGCCTGTTCTAAGTCCTTCTGATCAAGAGAGTGTTGAAGAGGTAACATCGCCTGAAGCCTGGGGTCTCCCGCACAAGATGCTTGTCAAGTTGGTTGATTCATTTGCAAATTGGCTGAAAAATGGTCAGGAAACTCTTCAGCAAATCGGAAGTCTTCCCGAACCACCGCTGTCACTCATGCAGTGTAACCTTGACGAGAAAGAAAGATTTAAGGATCTGAGAGCCCAAAAGAGCCTTAACACAATTCTCCAGAGTTCCGAAGAAGCAAGAGCTTATTTCCGCAAAGAGGAATTTCTGAGGTACTCAATTCCGGACAGGGCCTTTGTGTACACGGCTGCTGATGGTAAGAAGTCGATTGTTGCCCCTCTGAGAAGAGGCGGAGGGAAGCCAACCTCGAAAGCTCGGGATCATTTCATGTTGAAACGTGAGAGACCGCCACATGTTACAATTCTGTGTCTTGTGAGAGATGCTGCCGCCAGATTGCCTGGTAGTATTGGGACAAGAGCTGATGTTTGTACCTTAATAAGAGACTCGCAGTATATCGTGGAGGAGGTGACCGATATACAAGTGAATCAAGTCGTGAGTGGGGCCTTGGATCGTTTGCACTATGAGCGGGACCCTTGTGTCCTATTCGATGCAGATAGGAAATTGTGGGTCTATCTACACAGAGACAGAGAAGAAGAAGATTTTGAAGATGATGGTACTTCATCCACTAAGAAATGGAAGAGGCCGAAGAAGGAAGCTGCAGAGCAAACAGAGGAACAAGAAGCTGTCACAGTAGCGTTAAATGGGAATGAAGAACAAACCGGGACTGAGATGGGTTCAGACCAGAAGACTGTTGAGTCCGCTGGTTTAGACGGGGATCAAGGAGCAGCAGACCAACTGTGTAATGTTACTGAACAAGCTGGAGAGGAAATGTGTATTGAGACTGAACAAGCTGGAGAGGAGCAAGATGTTGAGAACACTGCACATGGTAATGAGACAACGATGTGGGAGCCTGATCCTGCTGTGGTTTCAAATCCTATTGAGGATAACACGTTCATCTGCCAAGAGAACTCAGTGGATGTTGATTTTGACGATGAAACATGATTGGTGAAATTCTTTAATACCAGGTTGGTTCCAAACGCTTTCTTTCATGATTGTCAGATCAATAAGTTCATTAGCCCTGAGTCTAAGTCCGTTTCCACTGTTTGATATTGAGTTTGTTTTTTTTTTTTTTAATCATGGTTTGGCAATGGTGAACCCTTTTACAAGACGACTCATTTTTTTTCATTGATTTCTAGTTGCAGGTGAAAATTCCAGAGGGTAGTGTTCTTTAACAGAAAGAGAGGCTATGGATTTGTATAAAGACATAATTGGTTTGGTCCCAAAAGAAATATAAGAGTTGAGATCACACAAGCTCTCTCACAAACATGTTGAAAGGTTATTCTTTTTGTTCTCAAGCCATCCATCTTTTTTATTCTTAAACGTCAATATCTAATATATATAGATAGGTATATAGCGAGAAATACATGATGGTATTCATCTAAAAATGGGTCGACGAAAGTCAGAATTTATTATGATAATTGATGACATTCATACTGCTCGTTAAAAGAGAGGCACAAATGGCACTACAAATGAATTTGTGTGGATATTTGCGTATCATTTTCATGATTTGTGTATAGTATAATGCAGTACGCAGACGCATTGAGGCATGATATGCTGTAATATTAGCTAGCAATCCGGTATAATCTAACTTTGAAATCGACCCGGGTCAATTGTGGTGGGTTTTAAACAGTTTAACACCCGTTTAAAAATATTGTTGTATATATGTGAAGATTGAAGAATGAATGTATACCCGAACTCAATTGATCACATGTAATATAGCTAACGTAGCATATATTTATAGCGTCATGTGCAATTTAGTGATTGCGACATAGCTCGACCCGGTGGCCCTCCATAAGCTTGAAACCGCATTAAGGCAATCAATAAAAAGTTGAAAATCTCACACATTATTTCAAATCTCATCATTAAAAAAAAATGCTTAACTAATCTTAATTCTGCCTTAACAAAACGTCTTTAAACTTATATTATTACATCTTTTCATATATAATATAACCTTCGAGTAAAAGAAAAGAGTAGTAAAATATTGTATCTCTCATATATTTAAGGAAATTTAAGTATTGAAAGAACGAAGACAATTGAAAGAACAAATAAAAATATCATCAGTTTGTCCAAGGGCTTTTAGAAGGAAAGGCGTTTTACATCGAGTGTGGCATTGGTCACACAATTGACGAGTTGTATCTTTGGTAGGAACCACTTGAAGTTTATAATGCATAATGTCGATTGTGGATCCTAGCATGAAACGTGAGAAGTCCCCAAAAACACACTCAACATGTAAAGTGACCAAACAATCAGCACATGTGTAGAACCACTTGCTTGGATCCAACGCCGTCTCGCAAATATCACACCAATATTTATCGCTCGTTTTCTCACCATAACATAGGGAGAGAGGGTGTCTATCGTATTTATGCTTCACTGTTTTAGGCAGATTTGCACAATAGAAATCCAGACTAAACTCAGAAACATCACAACCAAGCACCTCAGAATAATTGAACTTGTTGTGACATGAATCACACGCGCCTGTACTGAGTTTGCCTTTGTAATATAAAGGATTTAAATGGCCATCATGTATAAATGGTTCAGAAACTGAACTGCAATGAACATCTAGAGTTGAATGTCTAGAGATGTACCTGAAACCAGTCGATGGTTTTTCACAAGCGCCACACTGAAACCACTGCTTTTGGGGATCTTCACCTCTGGCATGTAAGGTAAATGGTATGCTGGTTGTTAAGTGCCGTCTCTTCATTGGGAGATTTGCACATTTTTCATGAAGAAAATAATCACATTGCTCACAGCTATATATCTGATCATAGTTGAGAGGAAAAACGCATGCTTCACATCGTTTACGTTCATCACAAATAACGTTTTCACTATTAAGCCTTAGATTATGCTCCTCGTGACTGAAATGGTTTATCAAGTTATCACCAACCACCTTAAATGGAAGAACTTCGATTTCTTCAGGTATCCCTTCGAGTTCTATCCCATCCCATACTTTGTAGCTTGTTGCGCATTGTGAATGAACAGCATATTTGGGACAAATGGAGCAAGAATAAGCCCCATAAAACTGATTTAAGGGTAGACGACAAACTCCACAATTTGAATACCCTGGACCAAGATGATTAGTGCGAGAAATGCGATGATCATGACGGTTGATGATTATGACCTGCGGTAGATCAATACAACTTCGATGGACCATGAAACCACATGGAAGACATAAATAACAGCTTCCTTCGTCTTCATGCATCCCACAAACATTACAAGTAAATGAGATCCGTCTTGATAAGAGAGTAAGATGATGCTCATGGGTCTTGGAATGCTTGATAACAAGAGGTGGTGGGATTTTCACACAATCTAGGCATATGCTGAAGCCGCATATCGAGCAATAATACAAGACAAATTCCGGTCTCACTCCGCACAAAACACATGCCTTCTCAGCATCATCGGAGAGGGATTCGGATATGATGATGAACTCAAGAGGGTGACTAGGGTGAAAAGGAAGATTTACCTTCATTTTAACATTGATACACTCCACGTGAACGTACTCATCACATGAAGGACGTCCAAAATGATATGTACCAGAAACTCTTTGCTTACATACTCCGCAACTATCTTCGCTTTCTGTTTCCTTTAAAAGGAAAAATGGAAGTTCTTGGAGATTCAGTTCAACAACAAGGGGAAGTGGTGGTTTCCTTGCACATGACGTATCAACGTTGAAGTCGCATTTGGAACAATGATAGAGATACGTCACATCAACAAAGATATTGTTGCCGCACAAATCACATATACTTCTTGGGGGATTCTTTGTGAGCCGGAGAGGATGGTCCGACCGGTGAGAAGGATGGTTGATTTCAAGTGGTGATTCGGCGCATTCCTTGTGAAAGAAAGCACCCTCGCAGTCAGAAACGTTGCAGCGATAGCCTCCATAGTAACAACCACCATGGTTCGTACTGCAGCCGTCACACGAGCCGAGAAACCGAGATGTTGAGATCAAAGGATGTTCGTGAATGGGCAGCTTAATAGAAGATGTACCCATGGTTCTTTAAAGAGTTTTTCTGTTGAGAACAAAGAGTTTTTTTTTTTTTTCCCCTTTGTTTTCTGTATTGTTGTGATCTCGATTTAAGTGCATGTATATATGCATTTCTAATTTTTCAGAACATATTTTATTACCAATTGCCTGAGATGATCTGTTGGAGTGGCATCATTATCCACCCACCGCACACATAAACATATAATTTATTGATTTATATAGTCGTTGTGCATGCCATTAATCAAATTTAAATTCAGTGTAGGGTATTGTTATTGAAAAAAAAAAGCCTATCATAACCAATAAATAAAAAAAGACCACCTTTTATAACGAAAAAATGATATTAGTGTTGTCTTATTGTTTTTTTTTTCAACCACACATTCATTAAAATTTGTTTCCTTGATTAGTTAGCCAATTAGGAAAAAAAATGGCTACATAAAAAACATCCAAAAACTTCACTCTAAATAAAATCGGCTAAACAATTTGCTTATAAGCTTAAAGAGCGAGAAATCAGAGAGAGTGAAAAATCTGGAAAAACAATTGATTGACATTGCGGTCTAGCCACTTCGATGATCTGGTGACCCAAAAAGTTTTTGGTTTGGTTTCCATGACACAATTATGATAAATGACCACTGTAAAAAACAGTAAAATACTTAGCAAATAAACGGATTATATAATGAAAGTAGGCTGAAGTTCAATGGGTCATGTGAACGATTATATGTTCAAGTTGGTTGTTAGATGACGGTGACTGATGGCGGTAATTTTTATCTATACCAATTAATTTTATAGTTAGACATCCATTTTATCAAAAATTACAAGTTTAATAATACTTAGAAAATATTAGTACACGTTTATATCAGTGTTGTTGTTTTTGACAATATAATGCATTGCCACTTTCTTAAATAGGTTGTTTCTTTTTTGTTAACTCCCGCAAATATTCTTTTAAAATAATAGAAATAGATTCTATTCTATTCACTTAACAACAACAACAACAAAAAACCTGTAGCACATTAAGGATGGTAGTTGAATTATTAGTTAACTTTAACAACTAAGAATTGAGTCATAATACATTAAGTTTGGTTTAAATATTAGGTCATCTATAATACTGTCATTAAAGCGTTGTAACTTGTTTAAGTCAAGTGTCAGCCCAATGATATATAGCCGCCGGAGGCAATACAAAGCCATGGAATAATAACAACAATAATTATAGTTTGATGTGTGTGAGGTTATGAGCTGTATCACAGTGGACATCTTCACACACAAACACAAGTTGCAAAACCAAACAAAAGTAACTTAAAAAGTGGCGAACTAACATGAAAAATGAATGAATATAATGTTTCAAAGTATTTCGACCAAAAATAAAAAAATAATAATGTTTCAAAGTATTGATTGATCTTCATGTAGTGGCTTTGGCTTCACTTAGGTTTTTACAAAACCATTTTTAATAGGAAATGCCGTGTCGGATTTTGTAGTAAACGGTTTTTCACTTCAGAAATCTATCGTCCCAAGCGTTCGGATAAAAAGATTAGAAGTCTCCAGTTCTTTAGGACGAATATCCGGGCAAATTTCAGCAATTTCCAATAATTTTTAATTTTCAAAAAGATCCAGAGTAGAATAAAAAGATTTATCGACAAACAAACATTTGTCTATGTTGCGTCAAAATCGTAAACGGTTGCCATTAAATTGATATTATGCATTTTGGTTTACTAAATAACAATATATTAAGAAAGTTTCAAGTAATTAAGTTAACAAGAATGCAAAGAAGATAATTAAAAAAAAACAAAGAATAGGATGCCAAAAAAATTAATTTAAGGGTGTGAAAAACAAAAATAAAAATGGTCAATTGAAGAAGTTCAAAAGTAAGAAAAATATATAAATATTAAAAGAAAAAAATGAGTGAAAGAAATTACTAGGTCATTAAAATTTCTTTAAAAAAACACAAAATAAGACTGATAATCGAATTGAAATCTAAAAATCTATGCGCAGATTTTTTCCATAGTAAAAAAAAAAAGATAGAAACTAAATGATAATATAAAGCATAGATGAATTAAAAAAAAAAAGTCTTAATCTTAGAGGGAGACTCCTGAATGCGTATGGCTAAGTAGTCTAAATCCTAGCCTCCCGTAAAAGAATTGAGTTCCCCACTCATCTGCGCCCAACTTCTTGACGCCATATTATATGTACTATCTGCATCTATAAATAATTTTTGGATTTGCTAGAAGTTGTTGTTATCCAGTCTGAAATAGCTTGCTTTCCCAAAATATGGAGAAACTAACCTTCCATACGAAAATGGTAATTTTATATTGTCTACCTCCAACAACAGAAATATGTAATGGGGTCTTCAAAAACAATACTGGTTTGTACAAAACCAAGGCATCGAAGGTTATAAGAGCATCTCTATCCATGAACCCTTCTTTGGGGTTCATAGGTATTTAATATAATTTTTTTTTTTTTAAGGGTGATGAGCCCCAACCCATTTTGTCCTTCCAACTATGAATTCATGTGTGAGATTTATATGATTAAAATAATAATATTTTTTTAATTTTGTTGGAAATCAGAAAAAATTTTAAAAAGTTAAATCGACGAAGAACGCGAAGGAATCTGAGTTTACGTAGACGAGGATAACAAAAAAAAGCAACCTTTGAACGAAATTAAAAATACGCCAAGATGAAATTATATAGAGACAAGAGTAGCATAAAAACGAGAGAAATAAAATGATTAAAAGCTAGAAATTGGCAAAATCCGAAAAGAAAGGAAAAATCGAGAGGCAAATCCAAAATTTAGGACATGAGCAAAAGGAGAAGAGAAAGAGGATTGTACCGTTTTCTTCTCTTTTTGTCTGAAAAGAAGAAAGAAAGGAGAAGAAGAAGAAGTGGAAAAGCGAAGAAAAAGGAGATGTGAAGAAATCCTAAAATTTCTCTACCCACAAAACCAATCAAATTTCACCACGTTTCCAGTGATACTCAGTCATACGAGTTCAAAAGTATGACTCCAGTCATATGGGTTCAATGGAATTGAGCTTATTTTATTATTTTTAAACCCAACAAAATTGACAAGCCCCACTTGTAAACCTCTTATAATACTCTCCGTTGGAGCTGCTCTAACATCCTGTCGTTTGGTACATATCAGTTTATCACTCTTGCAAATAATTACACTAAGCATTAAGCATTCCAAAAAAAAATTTAAAACCATGTTGATATATAACACATGGGCTTTTAGATTATAATTCTGTAGAACAATTTTTGAAAAAGCAACACTTGTTGATAGAATACTTGCAAACTAAAACTAATAATTGGCCTGAATATAAAAAGTTATGTTCGATCATCAAGTGAATATTATACATGTGGTAATAGTTTTAGCTTATACCAATTTTGTGGAGTATGTCAATGGTTTTCTCCTTTTTTGTCAACCGACTTCATCAAATATATTTATTTTGCGTTAACGTAACCCGATCCATAACTATTAATTAGTAAAACTAAGTGAAAATAATATAAGCAAAAATAAGTAAAAATAAGTAAAATATAAGCAAAATATAAGCAAAAATTAAATTAATATTCAATTTATTTTGATGTACGTGTTTTATATTCTAATTTTCAATTTGTCAAAACTGTAATAACAAACATTTCAAGATCAAATATACATTACTCATGGTAACTTCATTTTATACAATGAAAAGTTAATTCGCAAATCAATACATGTAATATATAAATCCATAAGATGTAATATTATAAAGATGAATGGAACTCTCCAATGTTTGACACTTTAATTTTAAAAGCAAATGAAAAACTGAATGTGCATATTTATTTATTTATCTAAATAAAAATATTCAAAACGGAGTAACGGAAACCATGTAATGTGCATATTTATTTACTGTTTACAATTCTGAGTTTCCAGATTTGAATCTTGGTATACAAACCACTAGATTACAAACTCTTTAAGAAAAAAAAAATACTAAACTACAAACTTCAGTATGTTAAAAATTATATTTCCAAAGAATAAGGTTATACATATATAAGTCTCTCCACATATACTCGGAATGTTATACCAGCTCCAACACGGATTCAATAGTGGGGTTCATCAACTTTTTGGGTGTAAAATAATATTAAAAAGTTCAAACTTAGAACAACTCATCTTTTCTTGAAGGACCTGAAGAGTTTGTCTCTGTTTGGGGTCAGGATATGTGGTCGATTGTGGTTGGTCCACAGAAAAAAGTTTTGAGATCTCAAAAATATTAATAACAAAATACTTTGCTCAAAAAATTAATAAAAAAGCCCAAAAACCTAATTATGAAGTTCAGGGTTGGAGCTACTCTTACAACACGTCTCGTCCGAAATTTAAGAGAAGAAAGTAGTTTGAATTATAAATCATTTCACATATGAAATATAAAATCAGTAATCACTAACATTCTCGGGAACAAATCGCTTTGACAAAAAAAAATGTATATCGTAGCCCTCAACGATGAACGAATAAAACTAATGGACCTTTGTGTAAGAGTCGTGACTCCACAAGGCAAGATGGGTTACACATGGAAGAGCGGGAATAACACAAGTTTGCAAGTGACACGTAGGATGCATGATGAATGCTGACGTGGCACTACTGATCCAAGGAAAGGAAGAAGATCCTCATAACAAGAAAGGAAGATCAGAATCTTAACAGAAAATGGAAAGGAGATATACTCGAGACAAAAGGGTATAAATCCCAAGGGAAAGGGGCTCGGCAGGTTTGGCCGTCCCGAGCAAGAATTAAGAGAGCAACATTCACAAGAAGCTGAGTGAAACGTGAGGTTCTTGGTGAGTGATTGTAATCTAGTTGCACAACTGTTGTTGTGTTAGGTTGGGTAGATTAGGAATTGGTCAGTGTCGAATTGCTGTGCAAGGTCGTGTAAAACTGATTAGACAGATCATTTATGACTGTCTAAGTGATTTCTAATAAGAGGCAAAAAGGTGTTTTGCAAAATCAGTGTGTTCAACGTATAGTCTCTGTGTTATATCCTTTACATTTGGTATCAGAGCCGGTTGCCTATCTAGATCAGTGGAACTATATCAGGTTTAGATTCTGTGGTGACTGTGGATATCATGGAGACCTCCAAGGAGTTGATTGCTGTGCATAAGCCACTGATACTTCGTGCAGGGAACTTTGGTCATTGGAAAGCTCGTATGCGACATCATATCAGGGCCATTGACGAGGACGCTTGGACCGCTGTGGAACAAGGATGGGAGTACCCAACTGTTGTGTCTGAGGATGAGAATGGGAAGAAAATCCTGATTCAAAAACCCAAGAACACCTGGACTGAAACTGAAAAAAACCTTTCGAAGTTTAACTCTAAGGCTATTTCTGCTATCTTTGCTGCTGTTGATCTGGACGAATTTGGGATCATCCAAGGGTGTGATTCAGCAAAGGAAGCATGGGATACTCTGGTGAATCATTTTGAAGGCGACACAAGTGTTAAGAGGACTCGAATGATCATTTGGCTTCTGAATTCGAGAACCTCAAAATGAGTGCGGATGAGTCAATTGCGAGTTTCACCACCAAGCTGAGCACTATTGCGAATGAGGCTGCTGTCCTTGGGAAAACATACAAGGACAAGAAGTTGGTCAAGAAGTTGCTTAGATGTCTACCTCCGAAATTTGCAGCTCACAAAACTGTTGTGAAATACTCTATGGATACAGACAACCTGAAGTTTGACAAACTTGTTGGTCTACTTAAGGCAGAGGAAATGGAGGCAACAGATGATCAGAAGAGTGGTCAGAAGGGTATTGCCTTCGCAGTTACTGATGACGATAAAAGGATGATGCAGGTGGAAGAAAACCTTAGTCTTCTTGCTAAGAACTTCAACAAGATGCTCAAAAGAGTTGAAAAGGGGCAAAATCGATTCACCAAGGTTCAAAGATCAGACTCGGATCGAGGAAATTACAAGAGGACCGAAAGTGACCGTTCTGGAAAGAAACGAGACCTGCAGTGCCATGAGTGTGAAGGTTTCGGCCACTTCAAGAGTGAGTGTCCTTTGACTAAGAGGAAAGAACTGAAGTGTGGAGAGTGCAAAGGTTTCGGACACACCAGTGCCGAATGTCCTAACAATCTGAAAAGCAAGGACAAGTCCATGATCGTGTTTGAAGACTCTGACACTGATGAGGAGGAGGAACCAGAAACCGAGAACCTTATGCTTAACTTTATGGCATTAACGGTTCAAGATGAGAAGAAATCTCAATCGGCACTTACAGATTCGGAGTCTGAATCAGAAGAGGATGACATAGATCCCAAGACAGAATACCGCAAACTGTACGACAACTGGGTGAAGTTGAGCACAGAAAATCTTCAGTTAGTAAAAGACAAGGCACTGTTGAAGGCACAGCTCAACATCTTTGAAATGGAACGAACGCCTCTATCAGCTGATGAATCTGACAAGTCAACCGACTTGAAGGGTGAAGTGGACTTGGACCTGAAGGATGAGTTAGCTAAAGAGCAAGAAAGAAGGAAGTTTCTTGAAGATAAACTCGACAATCTGAGGGAGGTTGTGTGTCTTGAAAAGGAGAAGGCAAGAGAGCTTCAAAGTCAGCTGGTTGAGAATCATAAAAAGATCAGGATGCTCAACACTGGAGCTGAGTCTCTGGACAAGATTCTGTGTGCTGGACATCCTCCGAAGAAGAATTGGGGTTTGGGATATTCAGGAGGAGTTCTGATAGATCGTCCCACGACACAAGCTGGTACAATTCCAGTTTTTGTTTATGGAGGAACATCTGTGAGTGAACTGTCAAAGGAGTGTGCTGGAAAGTCATCTGTGAGTGAACCTTCAAAGGAGGGTGCTGAAAAGCCCCAGGTTATAGAAAAATCTGTCACTCAGGAATCAAAAGAAGAGACCATGTGTCTGAAACAAGAGACAAAGGTCAAGCCAATCAGTGGTGGGAAAAAGAAACGAGTCTGTTTCTTTTGTCACAAACCGGGCCACATTAAGAGGAGATGTTTCAAACTGAAGAAAATTATAAAAAAGGCTTGGAGCCAGCGCCAGTGTTACCCAGAACCAAAGCACTTTGGAAAGGTGTGGATTGACAGACGAATTATGTACGGAGATCAGGCGACAATTTGTGAGACTCAAAAGGACTTAACTGAGGAAACTGTCCTTTGTAACTTGTCCAGGATCTCAACCACTGTTCCAAAAGTTGTGAGCAATGTTGCCTACACCTCAACTGATGGTGAAGTAGAGAGTGCATGGTATTTTGATAGTGGGTGTTCGCGACACATGACCGGAGACCTGGAAAGCTTTGATCAATTACAGAAAGTCAAAGGAGGACAAGTTACCTTTGGTGATGGAGGACATGCAAAGATTCTTGGTGTTGGCAATCTTTGTGGTGAGGAACAGCCACAGCTGGTCAATGTGTATTATGTTCATGGCTTGAAGGCAAACCTAATCAGTGTCAGTCAACTTTGCGATGAGGGCTTGAAGGTAGTATTTACACGTAAAGAGTGCCAAGCTCTGGATGAGAATGGCAACGTGGTTCTTTATGGTATACGGTCTGGTAACAATTGTTACATGTGGAGTGCATCGAACAAGTGTCTTTCAGCTCGTGAATCCCAGTTGGACTTGTGGCACAAACGGTTAGGTCACATGAATGTCAAAGGATTAAGTAAACTGGTGAAGGCAGAAGTCGTAAGAGGAATTCCAAACCTTGAGAACTCCACAGATACCGTGTGTGCAACATGCCAAAAGGGAAAACAGATAAAGGTCCAACACAAGCCTCTGAGTGAGATTCGTTCATCACGAATTCTTGAGCTACTGCACATGGACCTCATGGGACCAATCCAGACTGAGAGCATTAATGGTAAAAAGTACATCTACGTACTTGTTGATGACTATTCAAGATACACATGGGTCAGGTTTCTGAGAGAAAAATCTGATGCAACTGAAAGCTTCAAGATACTTGCGCTGCAGCTGAAAACAGACAAAGGTGGCATTATACAGATTCGAAGTGATCATGGTGGTGAGTTTCAGAATGATGCATTTGAAAAATTCTGTCAAAGCCAAGGAATCAAACACCAATACTCAGCACCTCGCACTCCTCAACAGAATGGTGTAGTGGAGAGGAAAAACAGGACTCTACAAGAAATGGCCAGGGCTATGTTACACGGAAATAATGTGGCTCCGCGTTTTTGGGCTGAAGCAATAAACACAGCGTGTTACATCATTAACCGTGTGTACGTGAAGCCTGGAACTCAGTCGACTCCCTACGAAATATGGAATGGCAAGACACCGAATCTGAGCTACTTTTATATTTTGGCTGTGTTTGCTATATTCTCAATGACAAGGACAATCTTAGAAAATTCGATTCAAGAAGTGACACAGGAATGTTCTTGGGCTACGCAGTGAACAGTAGAGCTTTCAGAGTGTATAACTATCGAACTAAGATGGTAGGAGAATGCATAAATGTTGTGTTTGATGACCAGAACACGTGTGTTCTTGAAGAATTCATATCTGATGAAACCGGAACGTTTGACAATGGTGTGTCACACACTGAAGCCCAGGTTGATGAAGGATCTGCCGAAGGTGAAGAACTCAGTGGTGCACATGACCATATTGTGGAGCAGAACCAAGAGTCGGTCCACAAGAATCACTCCTCTGATGATGTCATCGGTGATGTTTTTGGTGAGAGAAGAACCAGAAACAAAAAGATTGACTTCAAAGCCATGGTCAAGCTAGCCTGCTTCATATCATTCTCTGAGCCTACCACAGTTCAACAAGCTCTAGAAGATGATTTCTGGGTTGCAGCATGTCACGAAGAACTGGAACAATTCGTGCGACTTGATGTGTGGGACTTAGTGCCACCACCACCCAATGTCAACATTGTGGGGACTAAGTGGATATTCAAAAACAAGTCTGATGAGGACGGCAATGTCATCAGAAACAAGGCACGACTGGTTGCACAAGGCTACTGTCAGATTGAAGGGATTGATTTTGACGAAACTTTTGCTCCGGTTGCTCGTTTGGAATCAATTCGCCTCTTGTTTGGGGTTGCCTGTAAATTGAAAATCACTCTTTATCAAATGGATGTGAAGAGTGCATTCTTGAATGGTCTGCTTCAGGAAGAGGTATATGTGGCTCAACCCAAGGGCTTTGAGGATCCTGAATTCCCGAACCATGTCTACAAACTGAAGCGGGCACTCTATGGTTTGAAACAAGCTCCTAGAGCTTGGTATGAACGACTGGCTCAGTTTTTGATGAAAGCCGGATTTCAGAGGGGAAGTGTGGACAAGACGCTGTTTATCCAAACCATGCGCCGAGACATCCTGATTGTTCAAGTGTATGTTGATGACATAATCTTCGGTGCCACACAACAGAGCTTGGTTGATCAGTTTGTGGTGACAATGACCAGGGAATTTCAGATGAGCATGGTTGGGGAGTTGAGCTACTTCCTTGGGTTACAAGTCAAACAAACTTCTGAAGGCATCTTTGTTTCCCAAAGCACCTACTCGAAGAATCTTGTGAGACGGTTCGAGATGCAGACAAGTAAAAGTGCTACCACCCCCATGAGCACTACGAACAAACTGTCCAAGGATGAAGGAGGACAGCATGTTGATGAGAAACTGTACCGTGCCATGATAGGGAGTTTGTTGTACCTTACTGCAAGCCGACCTGACATCTGCCTGAGTGTTGGCCTCTGTGCACGCTATCAGGCATCACCGCGTGTGTCACACTTGAATGCTGTCAAGCGTGTGATCAAATACGTTAAAGAAACCTTGGATTATGGGATGCATTACACAAAGGAAACTAATGTAAATCTTGCTGGTTTTTGTTATGCAGATTGGACTGGGTGTCTAGATGACAGGAGGAGCACGTCCGGCGGCTGTTTCTTCTTGGGGAACAATATGGTATCTTGGCACAGCAAGAAGCAGAATTGCGTGTCATTGTCCACTGCAGAAGCTGAATATGTGGCATTGAGGAGCTGCTGCACTCAACTGCTCTGGATGAAGCAAATGCTTGCTGACTATGGTATCACTTCTGACTCTTTCCTTGTTAAGTGTGACAATAAAAGTGCAATTGATCTCACTAAAAATCCTGTTCAACATTCTCGCACAAAACATATTGATACCAGGCATCACTTTGTTCGAAGTTTAGTAGAGGATAAACTTGCAGTTATTGAACATGTTGCATCTGAGTCACAATTACCTGATATCTTTACAAAACCCTTAGACCTGAACAGTTTTCTTCGACTGCGAAAGGCCTTAGGGGTGTGTGAGTTTTGAGTTTGCGTGTTACGCAGGGGGTGGTGCACGGTTCATGTATATTTGGTGTACGTTCTTCAAAAACCTCTCTTGGTAAATCACTTGTTGAGCACCTCTCCTGGACTCTAAGTCTCTGCTGGTGGGGAGATGTGTCCCGGTATGATTGTCACTCAGATTGGACTGAGGTGTCACCACACTTTAAGTCTGACTCTGATCACTGGCATGATCGGGGAAGCCGATGTGAGAGTGCATGCCACGGTGAGAATGGTCTTAACTACCAGCCTGTTTTCGATCTGTTCGTTTGGTGTGTGTGAAAGCTACTCAGCTGAGAAAGCTGCACTTAGTTGGGCCAGCAGTGATCACAGAGATCTACCTTCAGCATGTGCAAAAGAAAAAAAATTAATAAAGAAAAAGGGGGGTTAACACAAAATTAATGCACATCGTATGGTGTATCACTCAATTTGAGTAAGTGTGAATGCTCCTCAGCTGGGGGAATGCAGCACTGTGATGATCTTGCATAGAATCTGATAGTACATCTCTGTGATTCATTGTTGCGGTAGGACCATTCGACTGTGATGGCTGAAGTGCACACCTGGCAATGCTCTCCTGTTAGCCTCGATCAAACACGTCTTCTCTTGACTGCAGTGACTGAAAAAGAGAGAGATGCTGGACAGCTGATGGAATGTGTGAAGGCTCCTTGGCTAAGGGTATGCTGCACATTCCCACCCAGAGAGTGAGTTAGCTGATAAATATTGATTTCTGTTTGCTTATGGTGTACCACCCTCACTAACTAAAACCGCTGTGCTTACTCGCTCACACATAGAAGCAGGTGATATTCTTGGTGTGTGTTACTCAGGGTGTGATGTGTTCCAATTTCGAGCCTAGGGTCCTCCTATCTTGAACCTTGTACATTTGTGGGCCTTGTAGATTTTTTTTGGGCATCGACATTTGTGAGGATTTTTGGTTGTTGCACTTATTCTGGGCTTCTGGCCCATTTGTTACACTAACTGTGGGCTGAGTTTGTGTTTAACTAGGGTTCTTTCCCGCGATCCTTTAAAAGGTGGAGGGTGACGTTTCGTGTGTCATGAACCCTAATCGTGTGGTACTGTCTCGAGCCGCTTCTGTCTCTCCATCTTGGGTCACAATGCCGCGCAACACTCGCTCCGCCACTGCCAAGTTGCTTGCCTCCGCAATCGATGCTTCGCGTCGCCGTTCCCCAGCGGACGAAGAAACTCTCGCTGAAGCCCGTCTGCGTCTTCGAGCTAAACGGAAGGCTCTATCTCGCTCCGGGAAAGCACCAATTGAAATTCCAAGTGCTGAAGAGGACGAGAGTGAGGATTCCTCTGCTGCCGATGAGTTCGACCATCTGTTTGCCGGATCGCGGGCATCTCCGGAGGATTTCTCAAATCCCTTTGCCCCCTCTGCTGGTGATGAGATGGACGAAGACTCTGCTGAGGACCTTGAGGCCTTTGTGGATCCCCGTGAGGCAGATCACCCGCTTTACCTGGCTCTTGAGGCTCGCTACTCTGAAAATCGTCGTGAGCAAGTGGTGCGGGATCGCATGCATCCGGAACTTACGCGTCCACGCTTGCGACCCATCGACAACTTTTCCTCTCTAGCTGCTAAGGACAGGTTTGTCTCCTTTCGTCTTCGTTCGTTCCACAATCAGAAGTATCTCCCTCTCGATGATTCAAAACTCGTGGGAGCACGCAAGATCATTGATGATGCAGGTTTGATCTATACGGTACTCGATGTGGAACCCTACAAACCAACTGTTGTCCATGAGTTTTATGCCAATCTGGGGGATTTGGAATATCACCTTGGCACGAACCGCCTTTATGTCCGTGGCTTGATGTTTGAATTTACACCGGAAATCATTAACAAGATGTTCTTGGTTGATGACTCATTGCCTCATGGTGAGTGGGAACGAATCAACATTGATGAAGCTGTCCAGTGTGTGTCCAGCGGTCGTAAGCATCGGTGGGAAGGCTTTCGCTCCCGGCACCTTACTCCTCTCCATGGGGTTATCTACAAGCTGTGCTGCTGCAACTGGATGCCGACAACCAACAATACCACCATGGTTAAGGATCGCATTCGTCTTCTCGCTCACATTGTGCAAGGACATAAGATCAATTTTGGTCGGTTGGTGTACGACCAAATTCTGACCGCCGCTCGGACTCCTGAGATGGTAACAACAAGCTGATGTTTCCCAACCTCATCTTCCAACTCCTCAGTTTTCAGCACACGGTTACGGGCCATCGAGGCGATCAACCTCTTGCTGGTTTTCCTCTCAAGATCACTTTGGATCCGAAAGCTGGGAAGGGCTCTGGCGATGATGAACCTCAGACGGCTCCGTCTCTTGCTGCTGATTTGGACCAGCTGGCTACGTGGCTCAAACGAGTTCAGCTCCGGGTTCGAGGTAAGTGTCTCAGATTTGGTCATCTTTCTATGTTTGTGTGTTTTTATCTAAATGTGCACTCAAGCAGGGGGAGAATATGCTGAGTTAAGGGCGACTGCAAACGGTGATGGAGATGAGGATCGTTCGGTTGAAGGGGAGCAGAGTGGTGGCGCATCAGCTGAGGGGGAGAATAGCGACGACACGAGTGATGATGGAAACTAGATGCATTTTAGATGTATTTTAAGTTTTCGTTACTATGTCTCATCCCTGTGTCTTATGCGTGAACCTTGTTTGAGTTGTTGTGCTTTTGGTTTGATTTTCGGTTTCTAAAAGCTTGTCTGGACTTATGGATGTTTGGCTTTAAAAGGTGTTGGAATGTCCTTCTGGCACATTGAATATCTTTATTGTTTTGGATAGTTTGTATGTGCGTGTTGGTTGGTTTTTTCAGGAAAGCTTGGAGTATCACATTCAGATAAAAAGGGGGAGATTGTAAGAGTCGTGACTCCACAAGGCAAGATGGGTTACACATGGAAGAGCGGGAATAACACAAGTTTGCAAGTGACACGTAGGATGCAGGATGAATGTTGACGTGGCACTACTGATCCAAGGAAAGGAAGAAGATCCTCATAACAAGAAAGGAAGATCAGAATCTTAGCAGAAAATGGAAAGGAGATATACTCGAGACAAAAGGGTATAAATCCTAAGGGAAAGGGGCTCGGCAGGTTTGGCCGTCCCGAGCAAGAATTGAGAGAGCAACATTCACAAGAAGCTGAGTGAAACGTGAGGTTCTTGGTGAGTGATTGTAATCTAGTTGCACAACTGTTGTTGTGTTAGGTTGGGTAGATTAGGAATTGGTCAGTGTCGAATTGCTGTGCAAGGTCGTGTAAAACTGATTAAACAGATCATTTATGACTGTTTAAGTGATTTCTAATAAGAGGCAAAAAGGTGTTTTGCAAAATCAGTGTGTTCAACGTATAGTCTCTGTGTTATATCTTTTACACTTTGCATCGTGATTGACATAGGCAGAAACGATAATCAAACTTTCTAGTGAGAGTTAGAGTAAATTAGAAGAAAAACGTAAATTTTGGAGAGAAAATGTATTGAGGCATTAGAGTTTCTTTATTATTGTGTTAATGAATAATACAACCCTAAAAATCTGTATTTATAACGCCCCAAAACTCTATTCTAATAGGATTCTAATCCTAATTAGGATATCGTACCATGGAGGCCCTTTAGCATACTTTCTCAGATTTTTCTCATCTTAGAATCAACACTTTCAGCATCAAGAAAATAACAAGTACAATAGTTAACAGCCGGTTCAATATAATTGACATTTCTGACAATAATAATCATCATGAGTTCGTCACTAAGAGATACAATGTAGACCAAAATGAGGATGTTTTGTTCTCGAGAAAGCTTGGACAAGAGATTAAGAAGGCCAATTAAAGAGTAAAATCTGAAAGCAAGCCCTACTTTATTTATTAAGACCACACACAAACACACACACATCCTTATTAAGTAAGAAAGTCGCAGATATAACTTACATAGACAATTTTCCTTAACAAGTTCAGACAATTATAACGACAAGGAAATCAATTATGCCTGACACTCATGCACAAAACAATCATATCGTTAAAGAGTAAACAAATGTTGACAAGTTTAGATGATCCATTTGCTTGAAACGAGCCTTTGCCATGTCTTCCTAAAGACTAAGAATATGATCAAATATAGAGAACGCAAGAAGGTGTTAATAAACTTTTCGATTCGATTTGTGACGTAAAAATTATGCATAAAGATTGGCACAATCAAGAAGGTATTATAAAGATTGGCACAACTCATACATAATCTACTGATTCAGAAGATAATATATTCCTTTGGTTCCAACTAATAAACATTACAAATAAATAAACAAATAAAGAATAGTAATAAAACTGAAGTTTTTGTAAATTCCTCAAACCAAAACTCAATAAATAAAAAAGAGTATTCACGTGTATGCAAACAATACTCTCTCTGTACAGTGTGACACAGTAACCTTCTTCTCATCTTGGCTTCTGTAAAACCAAATCCTCTTTAAGTGTTTCAGTTTACAGCAGAGAGTGGAAATCTTGACTCTGACACAGCTGCCTCGTAAACAGAGGAAGCACGTATAACGTGTTGTTGCTGCTGCTTTGCAGCATCTCCATTGGCTTGCTTCGACAGTTTCTCATCTCGAAACGCTCTCAGTAACTCCTCAGACGCTGGAGTTCTAAGTTCCTCAATGGACTCAATGCTCGGTATGTCGATTAGTCTTTTCCTCGGCGTTGAACACGAAGGTTCATCCACCTGTTGGAACAAAAAAACACGTTCCCTATCGTTACCAGACTGTAAAACCAACAATAATGTCTGATATGTTGCGGTTTTCACGATTTGTGCGAAATGAAACCTTAAAACTTACCACGTATTCATCAAGAAGACATCTCCCTGCGTTGTCTGTGATCTCTACGATCTTGTGATTGTGATCACTCTTGAGCTCTATCAAGTCTTCACAGCATGGGATGATCATGGAGTTGACCTTTGCACATGCATCGTTATCGAGTTTCAACGAATCTGAAAAATAGGATAAACTTTCAGCAAACAATGGAGGATTTTTTGTTTGTTTCGAATCTGTATATTCCAAGAAAATTAGTTAGCTCTACTCACGATCAATGGAAGTAAGGAGGCTGCCATTAGCAGCATCAAAAACATCAAGAGAGGACGATACAGCGGACGAGAACTGAGAGCGTAGATTCTCATTGGCATCCATCCCTCCTCTGTTTGAGAGATTGAAGTGATAAGTGACTTGAAACAGATCATAAACGGATTTATCTCGGTGAAAACCATACCTAACGATTGAGTCAACAGAAGCTACGTTGTTTCGTTCTAGACTGACCAGTGATTCTTGAGCTTTCCTCCATTGATGTGCACTCATCTCTGCCTTCTCCAAGCTACAATTATCCATTTCAAAAGTTCACGCAAAAGCATGAAATAAACTTGGGAAGATATAATGTTATGTGCTTTTGTAATAATGAAACTGTGAGATCTTACCAGTTCAAGAGAACTTCTTGCATCGCTTTCTTCCCGCTCTCAACCGCTGAAGTGTCCTCGTGATAGTTTGACTCTGTTTTCACCATGTGAAGGTTCCACTCAGATTTAATGGTAGAGGTTGAATCTTGCATCGTTGACATCTCATGCTGTAGGGTGGTTGTTCTGGTGGATGCGCTCTCGCGTAGATCTTGTACAGCCATTTGGACCTAAGAGAACGATTGAAGAGTTTACTCAAAGCCTTAAATCAATTGCATTTCCTAAGAATTAACATATGGAATTGCATACGTACAAGGTTTTTCTTCCTAGCATTAGAATTTGCCAGAAGTTCTGCTACTTTCTCTAGCAATTGTCTCTCTTCATTCGCAGCACATTCCTACATGACAGAGGAAACAGCATTAAAGCCTACCCAAGTCATTTGCAGCTGCACATGTGTCAAGAAGCCAAGAACCGGAATCACCTCAAACTTGTTTTCAAATTCGCTCAATTTCTTGTGGTTAACTGTCTGTGCCTCTTCCACTATCCCGGTAAGTTTGGTAGCATGTGTGTCTAGAGTCTTGAAGAATTCCACTGTTACTTTTGAAACTGACCTTGCTGAATTCATCGCTTGCGAGTGTGCCTGCAGATATCAATATTTCGACTGAAATGTCTGATATCAAGATTGTAACCTTTAAAAGATCATAGAAGATTCCTAAACCTTCCGTTGCTGCTGAGCAAATGCAATAAGCTTCTCTTCCTGTTTGTTAAGGCTACTTTGGAGATCTTGTAATAAGGTGTCAGCCTCAGAAGCAAAACCTTTGAAAACCTGCACGAGACAACAAAGGAAGGAGATTGACTCAGAACAGAGATATCACTGGTATAGTCAATTGTCTAGTGGGATAGTTAAAGTGTTAAAGTTACATTTTCTAGTTCATGCGAATGTTTCGAAACTTCTGAGTTCAGGCTACCAAATGTTGATTGAGAATTTCCATCTAGCTTCACAGCTATGTTATCAAGAGCTTCGATGCCAGAACCATACACTGCCTTCAATTTTGAAAGCCTCTCACGGAGTTCTTCAGTAGCCTTTAAAAGAAAAAAGCAAAGAGTGAGGCCAGGATGGGTCACTGAAAACAAAAAGGCCACAAAGACAAAAACAATAAATCTCTCACCTCAGATTTTGTCGACACAAAGGACTCCATGTCTTCCTCCATGTGTTTTAGTTGAACCTCTTGGTGATTCACAGAAGAAGCTACAGTCTTATGCAATAGCTCAAGCTGTTGTGTGAGCTGTGACTGGAAGTTTTGGATGAGACATCTGTTTCCGTCCTCGATTTTGTCCTTTCTTTCTGCAATACAAGCGCATTTATAAACCAGGGAACATACATTAACAAAAGTTGAAAATTTTGATCCGTGATTCGTTTACCTATTTTAGAAAACAAACTGGAAACATCTGATGCTGCACTTTCTAGTTCTGTCCGCAGCTGAAAGGCTCGCTCCACAAGTGATTTTTCTAAATGTCACACAGAAGTGTTATCAGAAACTTCAAACACAAACATAGGCTTTTCTCCTTGTGAGAAGGCTTGAAAAGAAAATCAAGTACCTGACTTGAGGAGATTAGATATCACAAATTCCTTCTCTTTAATTGTTGCATTCGCCTGTCTATATTTTTCTTCAAGATCAAACAAGGAGTGCTCCGTTTCCTCAAGCTTTTTCTGATATTCGTAGAGAAAAAACAGTTACCTTTTCGTGCATTTCAATCAATAGAGACAGAAATAGTTTCAGGAGGAGTTGGAAGTCTACCTCAGTTTTCTCAAGTTTCTCACTCAACTCTGCAGATAAAAGCTGCTGAGAATTGTATAGCTCCTGAAGATCAATTACTTGCTGCAGGGCCAACACAATTGTTATAAAAATGTCATGTGAGGTGCTAATGGGATATGAAATGTGGGTTTATACCTTGTCCTTGGATTCTGATTGCAGTTCTAATCTTTCTATCTTTTCAGCCATTGCCTGTGATTGAAACACAAATTTCACACTCAGGATTGGAAACGAGGAAGGAGATGATAAGAACCATTCTGTTCAGAGAAAACTTAAACCTTTTTCTCAGCCTCCTCTTGAAGATATCGGTCTTTTGGAATATATATCCCATTTTTCTCTCTCGCAGCATATACCTCTAAGAACATGTATGACAATTATTAAGCAGATGGGAAAACGAGTTAACATTACAATACCAATCAAAGAATGCCTTGAAAAACCAGTACATAAAATGATCATACGCATACCTTGCTTCAGTCGGTCAATCTCAGAGTACAGATCTTTCATGACAGCAGATTTCATCATCTTCTGGTTGATCTGGAATAAAGAGGAAGTTTTAGAGCCGTTCGTTTGCGCAAGAGATTATATTGCAGAAGAATGACCCTCACCTCTGGTTTGTTCTTGATATTCTTAGCGCGATGTGCATAATCCAAAGTGCTTAGAGTCTCTTCTAAACAGTGGATGGAAGGTGAAATTGTTGCGATTACACACGTTTTAGTCTTTCCTCCCAATGAATCC